CGGCTGATTGAGCACCTGAATCAAGGACCTTGTACTTCCTGTGTCTACACCTCGCCCGCGAACAGTAAGGCAAACGACTGTCATGCTTTTCCCGGACATTTTCCCCAAGCTTTATCACTAAAACCACTCTCCTCTTGTTGCAGCGTGCAGAGACTCCCAGTGCATTTCCCGCAGCCTGTGCCTTTCCTCTATGCTCACGAGAATGGACTTTCTATGAAGATTTAAGTTTGCCAATTATTCATTAGAAAGCTAGTCATTGTTTCAAGTTTGGTTCCCAAGCAGACAGGAAAACCTTAGTCCATTATTTCGTGACTCATATCTACACGTTTTTGCTTTTTGAAAATGAAATAAAGTTTTGTTTGTTTTTTCCCGTTTACGGGGTGTATGTGTGGGTCCCACATTTGAGTCCTCCAGTTAACTGGCCTGGGCCGTGACAACAGAAATGTGAGATGGTTGAGAATTTACACCTGTGTACTGTTATACTTTAGATAGCAAGGAGCAGAAAGCTGAGTTTATTCAACTCCCCGGACAAAGCTTGTGTTGCAAAACTGAAGCCTAAACCCTCCAATTTCACAGCCGTTCGCTTCACCTACACACAGCTGGACTCGCCCCACTTAAAACACGAAGGCCAGGTCCTCAGGAGGATGCAGTCTCTGACTTTAAGCATGCCTGTGTCAAGTGTTCAGGAACCAGAACGCACTCATGAGAAGTATGTTTCTTAGAACAAGAAGGACAAGGGATGAGAACAGGAGACTGTTGGAATGCTACTGTGCAAGTAATCCTGGTAGAAGGGGTATCATGAAGAGGCTGTGGGACCTATGGAGTCTTCTGACACCAAACATTTAGACCAGAGGTTACAAACAGGTCGGCCGCAGTGGACCTGGACTGGACTGCTAGAGCAGAAAGTTATGTTTTAATACATGACAGGGCTCTTCTGGATAGAGACCCTGGTCAGGAGTCAAAGTCCCAATCTGAAATACCAAAGGAATCTTTATTTCCACTTTCTTAAAATTTCTGATATATACCTTTACATACATTACCATTCAAATGTTTTTGTGATTGATTGCAATTCAAGTCTTTCAAGTCCAATGATTAGCTTAAAATTGTACAAAGGTAAGTGTTGAACTGCTAGAGGTTTAAAATAATAATAGGGCTGGGTATCGTCACTAATTTCTATAGCTGACTCGATTCTGATTTACAAGCTCCCTATTCAGCTTTTATTTATTTTATTTTATTTAACACAGTAGCTTGCAAAAGTATTCGGCCCCCCTCTGCACATCACTCTGAACACACCAAACTGTCAAATATGGTGAATCATGCTCTGGACATCAGCGGGGACAGGGAAGCTGGTCAGAGTTGATGGGAAGATGGATGGAGCGAAATACAGGGCAATCTTGGAAGAAAACCTCTTGGAGTCTGCAAAAGACTTGAGACTGGGGTGGAGGTTCACCTTCCAGCAGGACAACGACCCTAAACATAAAGCCAGGGCAACAATGGAACGGTTTAAAACAAAACATATCCATGTGTTAGAATGACCCAGTCAAAGTCCAGATCTAAATCCAATCGAGAATCTGTGGCAAGATCTGAAAACTGCTGTTCACAAACGCTGTCCATCTAATCTGACTGAGCAAAGAAGAATGGGCAAGAATTTCAGTCTCTAGATGTGCAAAGCTGGTAGAGACATACCCTAAAAGACTGGCAGCTGTAACTGCAGCAAAAGGTGGTTCTGGCAAGTATTGACTCAGGGGGCTGATTAATTATGCAAACCCCACTTTTCAGTTATGTATTTGTAAAAAATGTTTGGAATCATGTATGATTTTTGTTCCACTTCTCAGGTGTACACCACTTTGTGTTGGTCTTTCACGTGGAATTCCAATAACATTGATTCATGTTTGTGGCTGTAATGAGACAAAATGTGGAAAAGTTCAAGAGGGCCAAATACTTTATCAAGCCACTGTATCTATTATACGTTCAGCCCCAGTTTAAGTTTCATGCTTTCCGCCCCCCCCGTTTCAGACTTTATAATGTGTGTGTATGGGACGGAATGTTGGAGGTTAGAGTGAGACAGCTCAACTACTAGAGTGGGAAAAGGGGGAAATTTTATGTTAAAATCTTCTCTTTAAACTGCGTGTCCGCAGTGTCTGTACAATAGTGGTGGAGATTTTATTTTTGCCACCTTATATGAAGTACCGATGTTTCTCACTGCACTGGCTGAGCTGCTCCTCCATTAGACTCCATTCCCAGTTGCCTGTGACAGCAAACATCTTCATTTTTCTATTCAGTGAGATTTATTGTAGGGCATTGTTTTTCAACCGTTTTTGAGTCGCGGCACATTTTATAGGTTAAAAATATCCAGTGGCACACCACCTACCAAACTTGCTCCAAAATGACACATTGTACCTTCATACAGTACATATAATGGCAAGTTAGTCTCTCAGTTTGTTTATACTCACTCAGTGTGAAACCTGGGCTAGTCTAGATGAACATAAAGATGATATTCTGGCAGGAATTGAAGAAAAGCATACATGAAGTTCTTCCTTAACAGTTCTTAATCTCTCTCTGTTTTTAGTTTTTATAGCAGCCATGCTCGAAAAGCTTTGCTCACATAGATATGTTGTAGAAAATGGGAGCAATGTCAAAATGGCTCTGTTTGCAAGAATGGGGAACTCCTGGGCAGCAGTCAACCAAAAACTGTCCAAAGATAGATCAGCAAAGCTCAGCTTTAAACCACGGTGTTGTCTCAGTTCAGTTAATTCCTCCTGCTCCTGCAAAGTCATATCCTTTCTGAAAACTGCTGCTGAGCTATATGGGCCCCTTACCCAGTCAAGGCATTCAGTGGAGACTGAGGGGAAATAATTGGACAAAAATTCAAACGTACTGCTCTGCTGTCACTTCCAACATAAATGAAGACAGAAAACTAAACAGCAGTGACGTTTGTAGGGTTACTGAAGTTGGGCTAGGTGGTATATAATGACGTGCTACGTGATCGCTAGCGACACGGCTATGTTAGCATAACATAAACAGTGAAGCTCCAGGATGAAAGCTACCATTTTTCCACTCAATAAAAGTTAACGTGAAGGTTCCTGATGGTTAGAGACAAATGCAATCGCACGGACCAAACTTCAGTCAGGAGAACAACTGACATAATCCATCCACAATATGAGATTAGGGTTATTAATATACTGCAACAACATGGGAATAGAGCAGCTGTGATAGAATACAGCATTAATGAATCAATGGTACAGAAGTGGAGGAAGCAAGAAGAATGAGTTGAGTAGTTTGATTTATCTGACTGCTTTGTTTAGCTTAATGTGTCTTATAGGCCTAATCCCGTGCACCTTATGTTCAGAAAAATACATATTTGACTTTTTTTATTTGGCACACTGCAGTTTAATGTTGCAAAGCACCTCTTTTAACTTCAGTGGATATTATACATGGTTATGCTCAGGATATGTCAGCCCATTTCTACTGGAAATGCCTTTTGGTTAAACTTTCAGCAAGGAATTTGCATTTGCACTGTTACATTTTTATATAGCTTTATAGCACATAAAAAAAACAGCTTCTTGCTTAAGTGAAAATGAATGGATGGTGTTTTTTTTGCGCTAGTAAAGTTGTGGAGTTGTATTTTGTCTCGCATCAATTGTATTGTCAATTATATTGTTATCGCAAATTTTCAAATATATATCGTGATAAATATTTTTGGCCATATCGCCCTGCTCTACTTGTAGTAATTATTAAATTGTATTTTTGGACCAATTGTGTGCCGCGGCACAGTGGTTAGGAAACACTGTTGTAGAGCACTGCTGCAGAGCGTTGTATTGTATGGCATTATTGTGCCTCATAGAGTCAGTAACAACTAGGGCTGGGCCATATCATACCGTTCATACGGCACACTTAAAATCAATCCTTTGATTTTTCTGATAATCGACAGTGCCCCTTATAATACTGTGTGCCTTATGTATGAATTCTGGTTGTGTTTACTGACCTCAAAATGATTTTATGTGGTACACAGCGCTCGAAAATCTGTCAAATGTTTTAGTATGACTTTGCTAAGCTACGAACCCGCACCGCTTGATGGATTGTCGGAGCATTACGGCTATCGTAGGCAGGAGCCTCGCAGTGTGATACATACTGTGCTTCAACATAATATTACCGTATTGTGTGTGTATAACCTCTTTTTAAGTAAAAAAAAAAAAAACCCAAACGTACAGCTTATTGCACCAGCATGCATCTGCTCTTATATAATTATCATTAGTTTACAGCTTTAAGCTTTTAAGGTGCTAAATAAAAATAAAGACAAGATAATATAAATTTTAATGAAATTTGCAGATTGTTTTGGTGAAGTTGAATAAACTCCGTCGTCTGCTCCTTGCTATTTAAAATATAACAGGACACCGGAGTATATTCTTGAGCATCTCAAACTTAAGATAATCAGTTGTCTGCTTGATGTTTATTCAGCTGTGTAAAAACGATAACTTTAATCTCAGCCAAACCGATTTACTCAGAAACAAATAAAATACTGAAAAAAAGCCAAACAAAACTGAAAGAATAATAAGAGTAATATTAAAACTAACTAGCTGCCGCCATTGTTGAAAATTGAGTACGGCCGCGCTATGAATTCTGGGACACAGCTTCTTCTTCTTCTGGGTTTAACGGCAGCTGACATCCTTGTGCATGCAGTGCTGCCATCTTCTGTTTCAGTCCGTTATTACACTCTTAAATCCTACTACTTATTCCTGCGAGGCGTCGACTATTAAATTGGATTAGTCCACGATCATGACTAGTCGACTAATCTTGGCAGCCCTACTTCATATGAAGGAAAACAAATAGGTGAACACAAATGATTAAAATAAATAAGGTGCTGAATTGCTGGAAACTCCAGTCAGACAAAATGACAGGGGCCGAACAGAACATACAGACGAAAACAAAATTAGCTAAGAGAGAGAAACCCTGTAGACAGTAATAGAGTTAGGCAACCAATATAATTATAATGTACTCACCCTCGATCCCCTCTGATTCAAACTAAAGATCCACGCGCGGAGAAGGAGGCAAGCGGGGCTTTGCAGTTGGACTAGGACTGGTAGAGACAGTGGGCTCACTGACCTCCACTCCCCAGCATGTTACTCCCGTCAATCACCACGAAGGCAAGTTATTTGTTTACAGGTGATTTATTCCAAACTGACCGACAGGATGACTTGGCGTTGTCACCGAGAGGCCAAGTAGATATACCTTGCAGAGACCAAGCTGCGTGAGCTACGAGAGCGTATATCTTTCCAATCAAGCATCAGAAACAGAAACTTGATCTGCCGGAGACCAGAGGGCGAGCAGTAAGGAAGCTCAGCACAGCCACACGATCTTTGCTTTAGCCGACTTGAAAAAAATATATAGTCCCCGTGGAAGATAAAAGTACGATCCACCGTGTTCTAAGCCTACTTTCTGCTCTGTGGATGATTACTTCTTTATGTGTGATGGCGGTTGGCAAACAACGTTTCTGGTGCATTACCGCCACCAACTGGAACAGAACAATGAAACATGTTTTACTGTCTCGTTGAAAACAAAAGTCTAATTTCCCTGCACCATGGCTGTGTCCCACTCCAGCTATGGCGTTATTTTTGTGCCATTATTCTGAGCGCATGTTAAAAAAAATTGCAGGTGCAAGTGTTGCATTTTGAGAAGAAATTTATTTTGAGTGAAGAAAAACCTAAATTTGAGTGAACTAAATTCATTGCTGCGTGCAAAAAATGTATTTCAGTGTTTGCTATTATCCATATACACACACAATAGCAGCCCCTCTCGCTCAGTTTTTGCATTTGCGCTTGCTCGCAATGTGTTGCTCGCGCTCTCAACATTTCTGCCCGTGCACGCTCAACTCTTTGGCTGTGTCCCAGTTCAGGGGCTGTATCCCATTTCAGGGTCTGCAGCAGTGGCGTGTCCAGCGGGGTGGCAGACTGGCCACCCCAGGTGCCACCCCGAAGCTAAAACAATAAAATTTAATGAAATATCAAATGTACGATTATGGTTTCACAGTGAAGCTCAGATATCCGAGGGTAAGTGAATGCAGCACCGGTTTCTGCACTACGAGCATCATGTTAGCAAAGGTAGGAGAGCCAAGCCTGAACGACAGCACCGCAGAAAACATTTTTTCGGCGAAAGATTAACAAGTTAACATAGCTGGACTAGCCATCGGACATTTGCACGGTGGGCTGATGACTTATTTATTTATTTATTTTTTGTAATTCAAAGGCTTTATGGCTTTAATACCTGGTGGGCCGGTCTGTAGTCAAAATGCCCAATTTTTTGTCCCAAAAAATACAGTGAATACAAAAAATATACAATTTAAGATTCAAAAAGTTACCGTAGTATCAGATTTCTTTCAACTATAAATACTAAACTGCTGGGGGGGGCACTTTTTCCTTTTTCCTGCAGGTTAATACTGGCAGTGTCACCATGCCAGCTGACAGTATTTCATCATCAGCCAGTGTTGTTCTTTATACATCAATATTACCAAAGTTTACCATAAGGCAGCATAGAAAGTATTTACTTGCTTTCAGGTTTTATTCAAATGTTAGTCTTTTCAGTTGTTTCCCCATTTTTTTCCAGTTTCAAAATCAAACACCAGTTTGTGAGAAGATTATCTTCTTTTTTTTAACAGGCATTGGTTTTGCATTGGCATTGGCTAATTTGCCAATTGTATGTTAAAAATGTTCGTATTTTAATATTCAAAAATGTTTTTGCCCAAAACATATGTGCACTACATGTCAGTAAAAATACTATGCAAATATTGATGTCCTTGACTGCTGAATAAACACTGACTGATTGTATCTCTTGTACTTTATCAACGCAGTATCTAAAAACTTTGCACCATAGTGGTTAAAATGTCATTCTAATAAGAGTTAAAAGCGCATTCGGTTATTAGGTTTACAGGGTTATTGAATTATGGTTAACGGTTGGTAGAATTGTTTTTAACATTATCTGCCATTTACATCTGCTACCCTTCTCCAAATCTGTGCCTCTACCTGGCCCCCCCAACAAAAATTTTCTAGACACGCCACTGCTTTCTCAGTTCATGGGCAGTTATTTTGCGCCTTGGTTTTTCCACACGCTTCTTGCGACCCTGTTGACTATTTTGAATGAAACGCTTGATTGTTCGATGATCACGCTTCAGAAGCTTTGCAATTTTGAGACTGCTGCATCCCTCTGCAAGATATCTCACTATTTTTGACTTTTCTGAGCCTGTCAAGTCCTTCTTTTGACCCATTTTGCCAAAGGAAAGGACGTTGCCTAATAATTATGCACACCTGATATAGGGTGTTGATGTCATTAGACCACACCCCTTCTCATTACAGAGATGCACATCACCTAATATGCTTAATTGGTAGTAGGCTTTCGAGCCTATACAGCTTGGAGTAAGACAACATGCATGCAGAGGATGATGTGGACAAAATACTCATTTGCCTAATAATTCTGCACTCCCTGTATAGTTATTATATTAATCATTCTTAGTTATTATAGCAGTGAGTTTGAACTGGCCAATATTATATGTATTGTTAGATTATTATGATATATATATATAAACACCCAGCACGCCCCTGCGGGCTGTTTATCCTTCAAGCTCGGGTCCTCTACCAGAGGCCTGGGAGCTTGAGGGTCCTGTGCAGTATCTTAGCTGTTCCCAGGACTGCGCTCTTCTGGACAGAGATCTCCAATGTTGTTCCCGGGATCTGCTGGAGCCACTCGCCTAGCTTGGGAGTCACCGCACCTAGTGCTCCGATTACCACGGGGACCACCATTACCTTTACACGTTACTGACATTTTTGTAGTAATTTGCACCTAAAACTTTTTTCATTTGATGAGTAACACTATAAAAGAGTTATTATTAAATTTAATTCTAGTTATGAGTTAAATTTTACTCTATATGGTAGTAGAAATTTTACTCCATGAGAGTTTAGTTTTAACTCCTATAAAGAGTTGAAAAATCAACTCCCGGAAAAGAGTTACTCTAACTCGGCACTAGAGTTCATTCGATGGTCACGCATGTACACTCAAATGTAGTTAATCTGAACTCCCAGAGAGTTTATTCCAAAGACCAGAATTTGCTGTGTAGGAGCTATTTGTTCTTATTTTTTATTATTTTGAAATTAGTTAAAGTTTGTTGTTAGTTTACTTATATTCTGGGGTTTATTTACAAGTTTATTTGTAGGTTAATATTTGTTTCAATGTTTTGTTTGTTTGATGTTACCTTGTTAAATTAGTCAGTAAGAGCTGTAGGGCCATTTTGTTTCTATAAATAAAGAGACTGGTATAGGACCTGAGACCTAGCTAGTTAAGATGAGCACTCGGCTGTCAGGGTTCGTTTAGCTAATCTGTGCAGGTGAATGAATTTACCCGACTAAAGAAATCAAGAGAAACGCTCCGGGCTACTCAGTCACTAATTACTGTTACTGTACTTTTATTACAAGTATGATACTGTAAAAGCAACAGGCTGCACCCTGCCTCAGCTCCTGTGCAGAGCTGATTATTAAATATGTGCAAACAACAGCATGTTTTCAGTCTCTTGCCACATCTGTAAAGACAGAAACATTTTTTTTTTTTAAAAAGCTTGTACTTCAGTAACTCCTCATTAATCGGGAAGTATGGATTAAAGTACAGTAGTGTACTGTAATACTGAAAAAAGAAGAGAAGAACTTCAGATCCTGAGTGTGTGAGGACAGAAGAATCAGCTTTATTTCAATTTTGAGGGATACAATTTACATTTGAGTTTGTGATGATTCTGTCTTTGTGACTACAGGGGCTGCCCTCAGATTCAGACCTCAGCACCACCCAGTGACAGCAGACAGATCATCCGACATGTTCACATGTTAACTGCAAAATGAACTGATGAAAACAGTACAAAGGTTAAAGTACCACATGTGCTGTGGTAAAAGCTGCAGCTTTATTGATACAGTTAAAGACAAAAAACAAAAGGATTAATCACTCATGTAACTGTGTCACTATATATCAGCATTAACAGGACCTCAGTTTGATGTTTCACTTAGCTGCTGATCTCAGACCTGCACAGCTTCCATTTTAAACACTTTATGTACTCAGCTGCATGAAGAGCACGTTTGAGTTTCTCTGACACAATTAAATAAAACCTGATGAAGGTCAAAGGTCGTCACTTGTATGTTGAACTACAAACTTGTGATCTGGAATTCTTTCACAGTTTTTTGCAGATACTGTGTTATTTACCACAAAGTGATTCAAAGTTATTCATACCAGAGTAACCAGAGAGGATCACATGTTTTTAAATATATAAGTTTCTACAGGACTGAATATAATATCTTTATGTAAAAGTCCGGAGCCTCTGGGGAGTATCCGAGTATTTATAACATTACACAAACTCCATCACAGTGTTCATGAAATGCTGGGTTTATCCATCTCCTGGGGCGGGCCTACGGGGGAGGGAGCTGTTGGTGAAGGTCATGAGTCCTGCTTGATCAATGCGATGAGCTTCAGTGTTCCTGTTGTTTCTTAAATGATGCCTCTCTCAGTGGGTCAACAGAACATCTGGCACAGGACAGCTGTGATGAAAGAAAGGGAAGAAGTTTCTCCAAACCTCTGGACCCAGGAAACCCAGGTCTCCCTCACTAGTTTCTGTCCAGGGTGAATGTAGCCATTGATATAATATGGACTCTATTATTAAATGAAAAAAACAAACTACACTACACTACTGAAACATTCTGCTGATGTTTTTAAAGTTTCCATGTCACCAGGCTGTAGAGGGCTCTGAAGATTTAAACCGTTTTAGATCCATTACACTCACAGTCTTATGTTAAAATCTCAAAGGACAGCATTATATTTTTGATATTAACAGTAACTCTGAGCCTCTGTAGAGTGTGCAGATGATCTCATCGCTGTCTAAAAATGGATAAAAAAAAAAACCCTAAGAAGTGCTGAATCATTCAATAACACAGACTATTAGAGTAACAGGTGTGTAGCATTTCTAACTAGCAACAAGCCTCCAACACAGTGCGTATGCTAGCGGCTAATCTAGCTAACGAATTAACAACAGAGTGATTTTAGAACTATAAAATGATAAGCTGTGTTTCTTTTTTTTATAACAGTGACATGGTTGTATTTACCTTAATTAAATGAGTCGTCAGTCGCGGTAAACCAGCAAAAAACTCGATAACAGACACCAGGCCCATTATAGCACCATTGAAAAAGAGGCTCTTGCCTTACTCCTTGCGTTACAGCATTTTGAGGTCTATGTCGGGTCAAGTGTGCTGCCTGTGCAGGTGTTTACCGATCACAACCCACTGGTGTTTCTTTCCCAAATGCGCAACTCCAATCAAAGACTTATGTGCTGGTCGTTGTTATTGCAAGATTTTAACTTGGAGATCAATTACAAGAAAGGGAAAGAGAACGTGTTGGCTGATGCCCTGTCTAGAGCACTTTCTCCT